TTCTTAAGTATCTACCCATGCAGTGTGCTTTGCCTTCTGGAGATGAGTTTTCCTGTGAAGATAAAAACAAAACACTCCCCTTTTCTTTGGGAGTTTTCTATTTAGTTTATGAGATATACCTTAGTAGAATACTTGTCTCCTCATCGAGAGGTTTTTCCTTTTCAACTCAAATCTTGATCAACTTTGATGGTATCCAAAGTTTTTCTTTGCCAGTGGAAACCAATGCAAAATACCTACCCCATCATAACACATGTCCTGGTTTCCATACAGAGGTTAGTACATCTTTGAAGTATACCGGCTGATTCAGTTTAGCAGTTTTTTCCATAATCCAGTGTCTTTCTGCACCTCTTTGTCCTTTCTCACCGGCATTAAGAAACTTCAGTGTTAATAAAGCATTATAAAACATATGTTTGGGTGGTTTAGTTTTCCCAGCCTATATATGTAGCAACTCCTTTAGTGTCCTTTTAGATCTCTCAACCACTGCTTGTCCTGTAGGATTGTGTGGTATACTGGTGACATGCTTTATGTTATAATATTTGAAAAACTGTTCCAATTTTGTGGAGACATATGCTGGAGCGTTGTCAGTTTTTATTTGTGCAAGTATACCCATTACTGCCATCACCTGTAGCAGGTGTGTAATAACAGAATCAGCTTTTTCAGAGTTAAGGGCAGTAGCCCATTGTAACACTGAGAATGTGTCTATAGTATGATACACATATTTCAGATTTCCAAATTCTGCAAAGTGAAGGACATCCATCTGCCAAACCTCATTTCTCCGAGTGCCCTTAGGATTACAGCCTACTTGCAATAGAGTTTGGTTATAAAAGGAACAAGTAGGACAGTTTCTCACTATCTCCTTGACTTGTTGCCAAGTGATGGAGAAGTCCTTTTTTAAACCTTTGCTATTTACATGTTTCTTATGAAATTCTGAGGCTTCTAGCACACTTCCAATTAATAAGCGATCAATTTCATCATTGCCTTGTGCTAGTGGACCTGGCAGACCCGTATGGGATCTGACATGTGTAATGTATAGAGGAATACTTCTGTTTCTGATTGTTTCCTATAATTGTGTAAACAGGGAAGTTAATTCTGTATTATCAGTAGCGAATACTGTAATCTCAATGTGTAAAACAACTCTCTCTGCATATTGAGAATCAGTAACTATATCAAGAGGTTCTGTAAAATCCATAAGTACTATGAGAATTGCATGTAATTCTGCCTTCTGTACAGATGGATACAGACTTTGAACTACTTTAGTTACCTTACCTGCTTTATAACCTGCCTTGCCTGATTTGATCAGTGTAGAAGGCAAGAACTTCAGAAATGGGAGTTTGTCTTACAATACGTTGAAGAATCCAGACTGTCTTTTTTATGAATTTAATTCTGTAAGTTTTGGGATAATTGTTGCTAATCATTCCCAACAAGTCAGTAAGAGCTAGTTGCCAATATTCATTATCCTTCCACAAGGAGGAAATTTCATCATTAGTTAAAGGTACTATAATTTCTGCTGGATCTTTTCCAGTCAGTTGACAGAGTCAACTTTAAGATCAAATCAGAAATCTTCCTATATATGTCTTTAACTTTTTATTCTGTTTATATGGCAGAAATATTCTTTCCAATATGGTGTCTTCCCTCTGCATCAGAATCCCAGAATGGTATTCTCTGGCTGGCAAGATATCCAGAATACAGTCTAAATCAAGGTTTATCTGATCTACTTTCAAATCCAATATTCTGTTTTCTACCCATTGTAATTCTTTTTCTGCCTCAGCGGATAATAGTCACAGACTGTTTAGGTTCTTATCACCTTTAAGGGCCATTTTTAAATTATTTAAGTCATGTCCTTCCATACCAATAATCGTCTGTAATTGAGAAATTTCCCCTAATAATTTCTGAAGAGAATTAAGAGTTTGATAATGATCTCTCCTAATTTGTACCTTCTGTGCCCTGATTCATTGTAAGCCTATCTTGTAACCTAAATGGTTAATAGAATCTCCTCTTTGTTTCTTTTCTGGGGCAATCTGTAAGTCCCAACAATGTAGAACTTCCTTAACCATTTCAAACATACATTGCAAAGTCTCCTTATTAGAATCTGATAAAAGAATATCATCCTTTGTAATGATAAACAAGAGATTGTGAAAATTTCTTACAAATTATATCCAAAGGTTGCTGTACAAAGTGCTGACACAATATAGGACTATTTAGCATTCCTATGGCAAAACCCTCCACTGATATCTCCTAACTGGCTGTGAGTTATTAAGAGTTGGCATGGTAAATGCAAATTTTTCTCTATCATTTTCCTGTAATTGTATTGTGAAAAAACACTCTTTCAGATAGATGACTATGATCGGCCATCCTTTAGGTATCAAAGAAGGCAATGGCATTCCATGCTGCAGAGAGCCCGTTGGTTGAATTACCTTATTTATGGTTCTCAGCTCTGTCAGCATTCACCACTTACCTGACTTCTTTTTGATAACAAGTACAGGATAATTCCAAGGTCTGGTAGATTCCTCTATATGTCTAGCATCTAGCTATTCCTGAACTAGTCTTTCTAAAGCCTCTAGCTTCTCAGAGGACATAGGCCATTGTCCTACCCAAACAGGTTCATCTGTAAGCCACTTCAATGGCAGGGCAGGGCCTTTGGCTCCTCTGAAGGTCTACCATTTGTACCTAGTTTCTGTACAGCCTGGATGGTTGGCAACCATTTTCCATAGTGTCTTGCCAGATCTTTTCTACTATCTAAATATCGTGCATAATTTGTATCTGAGGCACAGAGACCTCCGCCCAAAATAGTCTCATTTCCAGCGGAAGGTCTATCAAAGGAAAATGAAAAAAGAATAGAGAATAAAAGAAAATAGAAATGGGAGCAAAGGAGGACATAACTGATCTGCATAACTGGCACTGGATATTTAATAAAAAGGGATAAAAATTAGTCAGAAAGAGCTGGACAGTAGTTCAGGTTCTGGATATATCATTTTCAAACCAGCAGAGGAGAAAAGGGGGCACTGGACAAAACTGAACACAATGAAAGGCAGTGAAAGGAGTGGGGTGGGGCAGAAAGATGGCTCAGCTGGTTAAGGGAACCAAGGCCACCAAGTTATCCTCTGACATCCACATGTTCACTGTGTGCCCCCAACACATTTATAATTTTTTAAAAAGATAGTGAAATGGAAAAAGTTTATAAATGTAAGTAAGTAATAAAACATCAAAAATGCATATTAGAAATAATTTCGACATGTCAGCAACAACAGAAAATTAACCAAAACCTCTACTTAAGAAAGATTATCTGGAGCTAGGATGTAGCTCAGTCAGTGGTAGAGTGTTTACCAAGCATGCACCAGGTTCTGGATTCAATCTTAAGCATATAACAAATAAAAATAAAATTATTCCTTTCTCAATTCCCTCATCAAAAGAAGTGGCACATCTAGAATAACAAAGCAAAACAAACTTTAAGGGAAAAGTCAGTTTATAATGGATTTCTATAAAAATATAAATTATCAAAAACAGACTCAAAATTATAGAAAATCTGAGACCTAGAGAAATAAAGAAATTGACTCAAATCTCTATTTGCCATTAAAAAAACTACTATGTTAGAGTCAATATGTATGTCTGACCTCGAGGAAGAAAACAGTTTCCTTCTGGGAATCTTAGACATATGTATCTAGGTATCAACTAATACTTTTTGCTGCCTGGACAGTGGCCCTCCTGCTAAGTTAATCATCATGAGTGGGATTCCTTTGGGGAACCAAATGTGTATAAATTCACTTCACCACTTAGGCCATGTGGTCTCTTGTTCTGAATTTGGCTGTTTCTGCCCACCTGGACTGAGTCATTGGAAGATAGCTGCTTACAATTCACTCAGCTAAGCAAAACTACATGATCCTTGTTAGATTTTCTTTTGAGTTGTCTGGCCTTTATGCTACATTCAGTTGTTTCCTACTTTTCCAAATCAAGAGCATATTCAATAGAAAACTGCTCTACACCCTGCCCCATTTGCTTAAGTCCAACCCTATAAAAATTCACCAGGAAAAGGTGATAAGAAGGAAGCAATAGGCTCTTGTTAATAGTTTCTTATAAACACAAAGGACCACTAAGGGAAGGCAGTGTGGCTGGTCAGTAATGTCAGATACCAGATAAGGATACTCAGAAGGGGTTGGAATGATAGCTCAGAGGTTAAGAGCATTTGCTCTTAAACAGGATTTGCATTCCATTTCTAGCACACGCACACAGGAACGCGAGTGCACGCGCGCGTATCTTTATGATGAGAGAGAGAGAGAGAGAGAGAGAGAGAGAGAGAGAGAGAGAGAGAGCACAGATGACAACCTTCTGTAACTCAAATTTCAGAGAATCAGGTCCCCTCTTCTGGTCTATGTGCCTACCAAATGTCCCTGCACATACATGCAGGCAAACACTCAAACAAAAGATATTTTAAATAACTCAAAGTAAAGTTGTAGAAAAGCTGTTGTATTTTTCTTGAAAATAAGCAAACCGTGTGTATTGTGCAAGTGCCACATATCAGCCATACTAAGGGTATCATGTCTCCAGAGAAAATACACAAGACAAACTAGTATTTGTGAGAAATATACCACACATCAAGTTCACAGAAGGATCGCTTGTTGTTATTACTGTGATAATAGTCTGTAAATAGTGTATAAATAATAGAAATTTATTATTTTAACCCAATAATGTAACTATCACCACCAAATATCTCCAGAAAGTACTGGGCATTAAGGTAGGTGCCTACCTACCTTAATACTCTTTCTTATGTAATAGGAATGTTTTAGTGATGTGATTTAGTTTTACACTTGATCAGTCTCTGGCAGAGCCTGATGCTGAGGCCAAGACTCTTCATCTCCAAACCATGCACCCTGTACAGTGAATGCTCGCTGACTGAGATTTGTGAGGGAAAGCTCATCTTTGCAGATGAATAGGCTGTCCCAAAGTGGCTAGTGCGTCTCGCTCATCTCACTGCTGCTCTTGTTTTATCCTATACTGTTGCCCAGGAGTCATACTACTGCTTCTGGATAAGCTACGAAAGATGAAATGGGAACAGATGTGGAGGCTGACAGCAGAGAGGGAACTCATGGGCATGCTATCTACCTCCTTGGCTGACCAGGTGAGTGTCCAGTGGCAGGGATCTTTACACCTGAGTACCTTCCTGTTAGTGCATATTTTGTTGTTACTGCAGCAAACACTGAAAAGGGGGTTTTGTTACAGTTTGGTTATTTCATGGTTTTTTTTCCTCAAATAAATTCTCAGTATATAAACCCAGGCTGCCTTGAACTAGCAATTCTTTGTTCTCCAAGTTCTGGGATTTACCTGAATGGGCCACCATGTATGGATTATGTGGTTCATTTTGGATCACAGTGCAGTAGGCTTTAACCCATAGTTGAACATATAGCTCTTGGTCCAAAACCATAGCACTATGGAGGACATGGAGGTTCATATCCTTTCACCTCACAATAAGGATATCAAAGAAGATCCTAGGATCCCACAATCCCCCCTCACATGTGTTCTCCCAATAACCTTAAAACTTTCCACTAAATCTTACCTATCAAAGGTTTAAATACCTCCTGTGGGAATCCAGCACCCATAGTTTAGCACATGGACCTTTGGAAGAATATTCCAGACCTGGTCTGTTTCTTAAAGATTCATGTTAATAATTGGATGTGTCTCAATTTATTAGTTTGTTCAGACATTCAGTCAAAAGACAGTCACGAACATTGTATACTAAGACATGTAGGAAGGTGACAGGTAAGTAAAGGGCCTGATTATTTTCTTTATATACTTTATGTGTAATGATATTTCACCTGCATACATGTCTCCGGACTTCATGTGTGCCTGTTGTCCATGGAAGTCAAAAGAGAGACTGTCAGATCCTTTAGAACTGAAGTTTACATAAATGTGTTGGGAGCTTGTAAACCCCCATATGGTTGTTGGGATTCAAACTTGGCTCCTGTGGGAGAACAGCTAGTGATATTAACTACTGAGCCATGTCTCCAGTGGTATATGTAATGTGTAAGCTAAAACCATTACCATGATCCTAATCCTGGTAGCCATGTGCTAAAGGGAATTGCATTTAAGCAGGAAAAACAAACGTTGAGCAGTCTAGAAAGCCCTCCAACTCCAACAAACTATTACATAATATTAATTAAAACTCATGTCTGATTTTGTCTAGAAAAGTCATGAACCTGTTTGCCCTCAGAACTAGTCACGTAGATTTCACTTTCTTGTGATGTTGTTGACAATATTGAGGTGTGAAGATACTCTCTCTGGGTTTTCTTCATTTCGCCCTTCCCTTTCCATCCTGAGTTCATGCCTCACGATTCCTTTGCCAAATTGCCCATGAAGTGTTCAAATACAGGAAACAAGGAAGTCTGCAAGGTTATATAATTGTTTTTATGTCTTTTTTTAAGCATTATTATCCAGTATTTCCCAAGGAGCCACAAACTGATCTCCCTTCCTAAGCAATGAGACACAGTATAATGAGTGAGTGAAAAATAAAGTAAAATGACTCAGGTGCTGTCTAAGACCTGAGAGGTAGTTGTCTACTGTCCTCATATTTCAAGTCAGGTAACAGTGACCTGAGTGTATCCCCCCAAAGCTAGCAATTGTGTATCTATGTTGAGTGAGGATGGTTTGTTCAGACATCTTGTGCCATGAAAACCCATAATTCACCTCCTAGCAACACCTGTCAAGTGGGGCCACATATTAGGTTTGGAGGGAGCACAAACAAGGTTAAAAATCCTTCCTAGACAAGTTGGAAGAGGGATTTGAAATAGGGAGTTGCTCTCTGGATGCTATGGCCTGCAAAAATCCAAGGAGCATCCATCACCAGGCCAAACAAAAGCCCCCCAAAAAAGCTATTGGAAATGAGGATGTGTAATTTGTCTAACCCCTCTGGATGAGTTGAGCCACTTTTCATCACACTGCTTTGAGAGGAAGGCTCAGAATAGCACAGGGCTCCAACCTAGGGTGGGGCAAGTTGAGGAAAGGATGATTGATTTATTTTATGATAACCAGCAGGAGAAATACATTCCCTATCTGTCCTGTGTGACCTTGCTGTATGATGATCAGCTAGACTCATAAGCATAAAGTCAGTCAGGTTGTCCTATGACATTCCCCTGTGCCTGCACAGACATTTACTCCTTGGTTTCTGTATAAAGCACTCAGGAAAACTGTCCACAATGGGGGCAATTGTATGTTGGAGCAATCCTATGCCCAGAGCATGATGTTTGAGAGATGTCCTTCTGTGAGCTGAACCTACCCACTTGCATGACCGTACCCTTGGTTTTCATCCGCAGGATATTTTCAATGCCGTCATCAAACAAAACCCCTTCCTGGTGTATCAGCTCCCCTGCTTCTGGAACGTGCAGCTGTCAGACCACACTCGCTCTGAGCAGTGCTACAGAGATGTGTCTGATTTAAAGGTGGGTCAAGAGGTGCCATGGTGGGGTGTGGTTCATACCTTATGGTCCTCCTGTGCTAAGCATAGGGATGCTGGGAGCAGGGATTGGCAGGGAACAGATTTTTTGTGAGCCTATGGGCATGCGATGGAAGATGTAAAAGGTCCCGAGCAGAAAGATCTTCCTCTGTTGGCTCTTTTCTTGCACACTCATATTTGGCATTCCCAGAAAACATAAAGCTCCCTGAGTAAAGAACCAGTTTGTGTAGTTTTTCTTCTTTTCATCAGCTGCCAGGTCTTTTAGTTCATTCCAGATCCCCCAAATCCAATGATTTACCTTGAGCAAAGACCCACTGTGTGCCAGATGCTACAGATGGGCTGTGAATCACTTCATACTTCCAGGTCACATTTGTAGAAATGCAGAGAAATGTGGAAGGAAACTGGTATAAATAAATACTGCAGGAGCCATGGCAGCTGTAGAAGGGTCAGAGTGAAGAAAGCAAATGCAATTGTCTCATTATCTCCTGGTAGATAGGACAAGGACAGAAAAAGCTTTCATTGTGACTTTCTCAGTACCAACTACTAAAGAAGTCCTGGCTTTAAGAAGACAACAGGGTAGGATATATTATCTAGTGCTGTTCATAATATCACAAAACAAAATACTCCAATTATGGCTGTACCTAGCAGCTATATGTTTAGTCTATGAGTCTATACATTGGATGGGGTTTCACTCATTTCCCCTGACTTAACCAAGTACTGTGATTGGCTTTGGTTCAGAAGGATGATTCCTAGATGTCCTCCAGGGTCCCTTGTATGTTGCCATGAAGTCAAGCTGATATGTTCTCAGAGCAAGGCAGAGGTGGAAGGGGAAGTCCTAGTGTACAAAGGAAAACACTGACTTGCTGTTGCTAATGGCTCACTGCCCAACATAGCCAAAAGAACCAGTATCTAAAATCTTGCTCTCCTCCATCATTTTCTACCTTATTTGTTGTAGGGCACACACTGAACCTGTAACTCACTAATTGGCCAAATTCCCAGGAACTTTCCTGTCTCTATCTCCCAGTATTGGTAATACAGGCACATATCACCATGCCTGTGTTTTTCTCTTCTCATTCATACATGAACACACACACACACAAGCACACAAACACACACACACACACACACACACACACACACACACACAAGTGATTTGAATTCATTAATGATAGGAGAGACTCAATATTTACCTATAATGTTAAATCTCAATGAAGAAAGAGAAAACTGTATACAGCATCTGCTTTTTAAAAGAGATAGACCTAACTAATCAAACCTAAAAGGCTGACAATAATATTAACAAAAAATATTATCAAAAATTACCCCAAGGAAGCTGTAATAACTGTACTGACATCAGATCAAACATTAGAGGAAGAGAGGCCCAACTAAAAATAAAACTTACCAGGAAGGTAGAAGCATATATCTTGTGCAGTGACATATATGTATCTAAATGTATGAGTGTGAAGAGTCTAAGTATATTTACAATTGTATATATACTTTAATTTTTTATTTATAACTGTGCATACCACCAAACTCATTAGAACTATAGAGAAATAAAAGGACAAGCCTACTATCACAGTGGAATATTTTAATGTCTCATTTTCAAGCATGAAAGGATGAGTCAAAAAATAATAAAAATATGGGAGACTCGGGTGACATTTAATGCACTTGATTTATTGGATAAAGAGGCTTGTGTGGACAGTTAGAATATACATCCTTATCAACTTTACACTTAGCACTTACCATACCATAACCATGTACTAGACATAAAACAATCCTCAGTACATTTTAAGAAAATGATATTTTACCATAATGCAACAAAGTAACTTCAATTAGAAGCCTTTAAAAATAAGATGAAAGGTGTCTAATTGATTAAAATTGAGAACTCTCTCTTTCATTCCTCATGGTTCTAAATGGTAATTATAATTGAAACTGAGAACTACTTAGGGACTAAATAAAATTGAAAACAATCCATGTTCAAAACCATATGGGAGGACCAAGAAATCCTACAAATTAGTATACCAAGTTTACACCTGGGGATGATAAACAGTGATTTACAAGGAAATAAAAAATTACAAGGAAATAAAAAGCAAAACATAAAGAAGATAAGATCAGAAATTGATTAGCAAATTGTTTGATAAAGTCAGAAAGTCCTTGCTTAGAAAGGAACAATAAAGTCAACAATGGTCTGAAAGTGCTTGTCAAAGAGAAGAGAACTCACCAGGCAGTGGATAGCCAGCATATATTCAGATTCATCACTTCATTCTCCAAAAGTTTTTGAACCAATGATTTTTCTGAGTTCTACGTAAACAACAAAGATTAAAGTTACCAATCTCTCTCTCATGGAACTTTTAATTTATTAAATTGTAGAAGATATCCAAATGTGATCAACATTATTTTAATAAATTTGAAAGCTTATGTGAAAAGAAAAATCTCATTGAATCTGTAATTTACCAAAACTGATTTCAGAAGTAATATATCTGCATTATCTTCTATCCATTAAATGGTCATATTTGAGTTGGTAGATGTGGTGTGTTTGGTATGTGGATACATGTATGTGTATGTATACTTTTGTTCTCATATATATTTGGACACGTGTATGCAGGTGAATGTAGAGGCCAGAGGTTACCATTTAGAATCTTTCCTGATTGTTTTTCATCTCATTTTTATGACTGTGTCTCTAACTTGAACCTAGAGCTTACCATTGTGTATAGTTTAGATATCCAGCTTGCTTTGAGGACCCATGTCTCTATCTCGTAAACTCTAGGACTATAAACCCATCTGACATTTATGTGAATTCTGAGAACCCAATTGTAGGTCCCACATTTACATAACAAGTGCTTGCCCACTAAGATCTCTTCCACTCCCTACCATAAACCTTCCTAAAAGGACACAGCACCCCAGTTGGCAAGTTAGAAATAAACTCTTGCAATTTCATTTTTTATCAGAAACATAACTTTCAATGAGGAAAAGAAGATCACTTTTTATTTCAATCTGTGAGTTCAGGTTATCCTTAAATCCCAAAATAGAGTCCTATGACATGAAAATTGCAAGCCATTTTCATTTGTGAACATAGATGTAAAAAATCTTAAGTGAATTATTGGCAAACCAAATCCAGTCATGTAAAAAATAAATAATACATCATGGCCAAGTTGGGGTTATTACAGCAAGAAAAAGGTGATTTAACACCAGAAACTCATAACTGTCATCAGCTTATTAATGAAGTCAACGAGAAACATTGTGTACTCCAGATGTATATGGAAAAGTTATTTAATGAAATCTAAATACTCATTCATGTTACAAACTCTCACAAAGTTGGTAACTAGTAAAAACCTTGTACAAGAGCATATGGAGGCTAGAAGACAAGTTGATATTCACCTTGTTTTTTTTTTTAATTTATTTATTTTACATACCAACCACAGTTTCCCCTCACTCCTCTCCTCCCATTCCCTCCCCTACTCCTTTCTACCCACCTCCTACAGCCTCCCATGGAAGTCAACAAAGCATGGCATATCAAGGTGAGGCAGCACCAAACTCATCCCCCTTGCATCAACACTGGGCTAGGCATCCAACCACAGGGAATAGGTTCCAGAGATACATTTCATGTGTCAGGAACCCATCCTTGTCCCACTGCTAGGGGCCTCACAAAAGACCAAGCTACACAACTATCACACAGATGCAGAGGGTCTAGGTCAGTCCCATGCCAGAGGTTCTTAGAGGGACCTGAGGCTTATCAGTTAGGCTATGCTAACTGCACAGCAAACTCTAGGAAACCAGCTGTCTCCACATCCCTAAGGCTGTGATTGTGTGTACTATTTTGTTTTTACAAAGGTGCTGGTGATTGAATTCAGGTCCTCATGCTTGTTACCAGCCGAGCCATCACTCCCACCCCTGTAGTACACTTGTACCAGCAGTGCGTGTGTGTGTGGGGGGGGTTAACAAAATAGAGTAGATAACTCAGGAATGCCCACACACCTACAGGCATATAATAAGTGAAAAGGTGCCATTCCTGATTATTTCAAAAAGGATTCAGTATCCCACAAGTGAGATACCAGGTTCTCCATATGGAAGAAAAAATTAGCACAGACCTTGACTCACACAGAGATTCATCTGGGGGTAGGTGAAAGGCTTAAAAGCAAGAGACAAAAACAAAACAAAGAAATGAAATACCTTTTATTTTAAAACTTGAAAGATCATTATTCCTAAGACCTCAGAATAAAAAGGAACTTATTCAAGAAGACATAGGGGTGTCCATGCTAGGTCAGCTGACTGTCAGTTTTAGCCTCAGTTTACTTTCTTTCTCTCTGTTGACCAGGTGCTTTGATCTGCTGATGGAGTGCTAGATTATCTCCCATGTGAACTACCCTCACAATGCATCTTCTAGGACCATCAGAGCTCTTCTCTTTATAGTGCAGGGGGAATGTGAGGAGACTCTTTATAGTGCAGGGGGAATGTGAGGAGAAAGCAAAGGGGACTCCCTGGATCTTTCCCCCTATTCTTTGCCTTATCCATACCTAACAGAAAACAGTTATTTTAGTGACTTCTTATCAACAAGTTGTGGCCAAGTATTTATTCTATTTGCCTATCATGGACTAAGCAGCTCTCCTTCTATAGTGACATGGCATTCATTCAAAGAATGTTCAGTTAGATTTCAGTTACATAAAATAAGAAACACAAATGCTCTCCATAGCCAGCACAACACCCCTGTCAAAGTCAGTGTTTGCTGTTGTTAACTGAGCTTTTAGTGTCAGAGCCTGGGACCTGGCAGCCCAAAGTGCAGCCACCCACCATTAATAGGCCACTGAAAGAAAAAGGAGATTATTCAATGTGGCCATATTGGGGAGAGGATCAAAGAGGCCCAGTGACATTCTTGAATTCTATCTTGGAAGTCCTGAAATGACGTTTAGAGATTATGCATAGTTTAATATTCACACTCAAGGTGTGGCCTTTCCTATCATCATGTGTTGGGCTTCCAGCTTCTCAGTAGTA